GATCTCTGTGTCATATGACAATGAGATATGACACTAGTTTTCAGACAATACCCGTAGAACATAGAATTGTGTGACACTAAAGATGTTTACACACACGCAATGGTAAGCCACAAAAGCATCTTGCATGTAAATACAGCATCTTCCACTCTCTCTGAAGACAGGTTGCACCCGTCCATCTCTAAGTTGGACAGGAGCGTGTCTGCCTGCTAGCTAGAAGGCAGTCCGTGATTCTTAGAGCTGCCAGACCAATGAACAGGTTCCCGAGGCTACTAGGGGTAAGACATAACTACTCCTGAAACTGTGTATCGAGTCTGCCACCACCGTGTCACCTAGTGCATCCCATTTGACTCTGATACTTCAAATATTCTCTTATGTCTCTCTCTCTAGCTTATAAAGACAGTTTCCTCATGTGTTGTCTTGTTCGTGAACCACCAGGGCCAACTCCAGAAGTTACGTTTTTACTTCGCAAGGCATTGCGGCAGGCAATGACTTGGTCGAAGGTTCGCGCCACCTCACAACCCATGTGAATTTTCTCACTTCTTCTACAGTAATATCAAGGTCATGAAGAGCTGATGTATTTGACAGCATCTCTCTCAGGTCAGGCACTTTGCCGGCATGTAAATATCTCCTGAAGTCTCCTGTTGAGTTTCTTGCACAATCTCTGTGAGTGAGTCCTCCCTTATCTCCAGTTTAATCCACATTCCTTTATGTTGTTTTCTTCCTGAAGTTGCTTTGAAGTACCATCGCTTGTGCCTTTGCTTTACCTGCAGTGTTGTTTTAAGATTACCTTTCCGCTTTTTCTTCTGAGGTTCTCATTCCTGTCACTCTGAATCGTTTCTCTACTTTGTCCTTCTTTGGGGTCTTGTAGTTTTCCCATGTCTCTGTGCTTATGTGCTATATTTCCTTACAACATTAACTCTTGGCCTAATCTTGTACTTCTCACAATGAACAAATCTGTTGCCCTCATCTCAGCTTCTCGAAGTGTGTTAGTCTTAAGTCGTGTGATATCATCCCATATTAGTTCAAAATTAAGTGTTGAATTTTGCCAATTTCGCTGTCGGTATGCCAGTCTTCTGTCACTAAATCTTGAAGATTTTTCAATATCTGAGACACAGCGATTCTTAGATCATACATTCAGAGAATCCCGTTATATGTTGAGAACTGAATACATTTCCTAAGAACATAAGAATGAAGGTAAATGCAAAGGGCCTGTTGGCCTATACGAGGCAGCTGCTATTTATATCCACCTAATCTCATTCATATATAAGTCTAACCTACGCTTAAAACAATCAAGGGATCCTACTTCTATTATGTTACGCGGTAATTGGTTCCTCAAATCAACAACCTGTTACCTAACCAGTATTTACCCAGGCCTTTCCTAAATCTAAACTTATCCAAGTAATACCCATTGTAGACGCTGAGTCACTATAACGTGGCTGAGGATATGAAGACTAACCACACACCAGCCTGGCCGGCACGCGGGTTAAGGCAGATCAGAACAGGCCTATACACAGAGCTTCAGGTAGATCACAGAGGGGGGCCAAAAAAACTCAATCTCCATTTATATTTGGCATAATGGATGATAATAGCTTCGTTATTTTGTTAACGTTTGTGGTAATATAGTGTCGAGGGGGGAGTTGTTGTTGTTGTTGTTGTTTAAGATTCAGCTACTGGGAACAAAAAGTTCCAAGTAGCACGGGCTATGGTGAGCCCGTAGAGGGGGGGAGGGACAAGCATTTAGTGGACACGTTAAATAGCGGATGAAAGAGGCTAAATCTCTGAAATAAGGGGATTGGCAACTAATTAAACCCTCTCCCTTCACGGTTTATATTTATAACTTTAATCTAGGTAGCGTGAGAGATAATGCGCGCTCATTTTATTACAATCACGTTATCATGTGTCCGGAATTATGGTTATAACGTTCGAAACAATCACACCCTGGAAAAACCACACAAACTCACATTTGAGCTATCACACCCAAACAAAAAAAACAGCCATAAAACAGCCCCCGGTCTTGAAAGAGAGAGAGAGAGAGAGAGAGAGAGAGAGAGAGAGAGAGAGAGAGAGAGAGAGAGAGAGAGAGAGAGAGAGAGAGAGAGAGAGAGAGAGAGAGAGACAGAGAGAGAGAGAGAGAGAGAGAGAGAGAGAGAGAGAGAGAGAGAGAGAGAGAGAGAGGAGAGAGAGAGAGAGAGAGAGAGAGAGAGGACTCATCTTATTGAAAGAACTCTTATTGAAAGAACTCATGGCGCGCCTTCTATTATAGACAAGGCAGCGACATTGTGGCAGTGTTACGAAAAGGTGCCCTCTACTCAAGTCAATTTCGACTTTTGTAAAGTGCACCCACACACACACATACACACATGCGCGCGCACACACACGTACATACTATACACACTCATAAAACACACACGTGCGTCCTCTGTGGTAAACCAAATCGATTTTCCTTTTATTATCATTCAATGGCGACGGACATAAAAGGGTTTTAAGTTGCCAGGTAGTTGGAAGGGGTAGGTGCTGAGGGACTTGGGTGGGAGGTAGGAGAACAGGGAGGAAGGGAGGGGAGGGAGAAAGGGGGGGGGGGGGGGGTAGTGGAGATAATTGGGGAAAGGTGTGAGGGAACACTTTATTCAGACACATATTAGAGCTACCACTCATCTTAGAAGTTAAGATGAGTCGATCAATAGTATTCATTCAAGTCTGTCTTAGAAGTCAATGTATTTTGACTTGATTAGTGCTAGCGTATTAAAGTGTGTTGTGGGTGAGACTAAAGACGGCAGCTGCTCACTTGGCGACCATTTTTTTCTGCGCGGCCAAAGTTTTTCTTCTGTAATATTTCGGTATTTCTTCCTTGGTAGTTTTTCATTGAAGCTAGTTCCTATTTACACCTTTTGAAAAGCCTTCAGGTAAACATGTGTAGTATTTTTTTCTTACAAAAATACAGCGCATAAATGCCGCAGAGAGAGAGAGAGAGCGAAAGAGAGAGAGAGAGCGAAGAGAGAGAGAGAGAGAGAGAGAGAGAGAGAGAGAGAGAGAGAGAGAGAGAGAGAGAGAGAGAGAGAGAGAGAGAGAGAGAGAGAGAGAGAGAGAGAGTGCATCCATTGCATTTAGATGTTGAGCGAATGAGATATACGGTCTGAAGGGGTGTTTTGAAGTTCATCTTAAAATAGGATGGATGTTTGAGGTTCTTTTAAAGGATAGGAAAAGTTAGGTAAGATAATTAATAGGAAGAAACGCTAAGCCATCATTACAATATGCACTTGGAAGTGATATAAGGATAGAACAATAGCTGAGACTGAATGAACGGGTGAAGGAACTTTGTCTAACCACTTGCGCCATCGGGAATCGAATGTCGATCTACAAGAAGCGAGGCGGTCACAACACCGCCAGCCCAAGAGGATGGCCATGAGGTTCTAAGATACATATAAGTATGTAAGCAGGTTTCAGATGTATTAATACTGCCTGAAAAGAGGTTGTAGAAGTTCAAATAATTAGCGGGGGATCGATTAAAAGGCTAAAACTCTCAAGCTTAGGATTGAAAGAAGTTTTGAGGCACATAAGATAGGCTCGAAGAATTGTCTGGAAACGAGATTTATTTCAAATGATTGAATGAAGGTATATGATGTAAAGAAGATTAACTGAAGCTTAGAAGCGCCTAAAACAATAATCCTGAATGTAGATGAATTTAACAACAGTGTTGAAGAATGAAAGATTAGGAGGGTTAGACTCGAGTACTATCTTGAGAGAGAGGATTGGAACTCTTTGCTGCTAACAGAAAAATGATATAAAGTTCTGAAAAGAGCCGGAGTCGTCTTGAGATGCTCGGAAAGAGGAGCAAAGAATTCTAAGTTTTCATGGAGAAAAAATTGAAAGTTTCGAAGCGTTGAGACAGTAAAATGTGAAGCTTCGGAACAGTTCGAAACCATTCAGTGTGTAAGAGGTGGTGGCAGGAGTGGGCAAGGTGACGAGAGGGAACCGAGGAAGGCTTGCTCCGAGGCAGGCTTGCCCCGAGTCAGGCATGCCACGCGGAAGGCTTGTCCCAAGACAGGCTTGCCCCGAAGCAGGCTTACCCCGAGGCAGGCTTGCCCTGAGGCAGGCTTGCTCCGAGGCAGGCTTACCCCTAGGCAGGCTTGCCCCGATGCAGGCTTACCCAGAGCCTGCATCGTATACAGGCTTGCCCTGAAGCAGGCTTGTCCTGAGGCAGCGTTGCCCCGAGGCAGGGTTGCCCCAAGGCAGGCTTGCCCTGAAGCAGGCTTGCCCCGAGGCAGGCTTGCCCAGAGGCAGGTATATTCTTGGAAAGTTTTTTGTTAAATATGCATATCTCGAGGATTATTTTAGTCGAAATATATATAAATATTTGGAAATTCTAAGAAGGAAACCAAAAATCAAGAGTAATAATGCTTCCAGTCTTCCTCTTCTCTTACAGTGACGTTTAAGTCTCCCTTGTCTACAATTATGGTTCGTCCAGCCGTTCTTGAATCCATTAAAAGTCCTTCCAGGTTTCGTTTTCATGAACAATGGTTCTCCCAGCCTTTATTGTATCAAATAACGGCTTTTTAAACATTTACTGTCTTTAGTAATATTTCCCGTCTTTTCTGTCCGATATTATGGCTCTTTTTAGCCATCCTTCCATTGGAATATTTCATGTAACTCTTCAGCATTGCTCTACTACCAATTCTTTATCACTTTTGTACCATTGCTGCATCGGTAATGTATTATGATTATATTGCTTCTGAATTCCGCCTGTATTTGCTCCTGTACTATTATGTAACTCTTCTGTCCCTCTCATCTATTTAGCACTGTCTCCGCTTTCAATAGGCATGGTTGCACTCTTAAAATACATTATACGTGGAAGCCATTGTACCATATACATTGTGCCATTTAAATGTGCCACACACACTGTTCCACTCATCGTACCATGTACGGTACAGTCAGTACACCGCTCACTGTACCATACAGTGTTCCATCCAGCCGTACATACATCCGGCTCTTCTCCCCGGCAGATCGCGCAGGAGCACCTGGTGAGATATTCGGCAGCCTCAGAGGGCGACCCCGCCCTCCACACCACCACCTTGGGTCTGTCGCTCACCGCACGCACCAGTCTCTTCACCGACGGAGCCCTAGAGCTGAGGTACGTGTACCGGGAAAGGTTGGGAAGGTGGGTAGGAGCTGACAGATAGATTGGGACAAAGAGGGAGATAGAATGGAATAGGGAGGGGGATAAAATAGAGGTAGATTAAGACAAAGATTAAAAATATATAAATGGGGTAAAGAAAGATAAGGAATGTGGGATATTGAAGGGTACATTTTCTTACACAAGCCCCCCCCCCCCCCACACATATCCCCTTACATAACACCTCATACAACATAACATACTCCCCTCACACACAACACAACAAACTCCCCTCACACACAACATAACATACTCCCCTCACACACAACACAACAAACTCCCCTCACACACAACACAACATACTCCCCTCACACACAACACAACAAACTCCCCTCACACACAACATAACATACTCCCCTCACACACAACACAACAAACTCCCCTCACACACAACACAACATACTCCCCTCACACACAACACAACAAACTCCCCTCACACACAACATAACCCCTTCCCCACTCCCCTCACACACTCACACAAACGCAAGAACGCCTGAATGATCACACATACACAAATAATGAGTCCCAGACGACACGCCTCGCTGGTAGGAGGATATCTCCCTCTCAATCTCAATCTCTCTTCCAGCCCCTCGTCTCTCACATTCCCCACTCTCCCATGTTCCCACTCTCTCATTCCCCATTCTCTCACTCCCAACTCCTTCATTCCCCTCTCTCTTTCCCACTTTCATTCCTCCGTCTCCCTTCCATCCTCCGTCTCATTCTCTCACACCCCATCTCATTTCTCCCTCTCTCTCACCCTCTCTACAGCTGTGAATTGAAGTTCAAATATTCTGATTGTATACACGGCTCCCCCGGCTCACGACGCATAAATGGTGATAAAACGAAGAATAGGGGCAGGATGAGAGAAGAGACGATACGAAGAGAGAAACAGATGATACAATGAGATAAAGGAATAATATAATGGCAAAGACGAACATAAATACATTGAACAAATAATTAAAATATGAGAGGAAAACGTGATCAGATGAAAGTACAAGACGGTGAAATGAGAGACTAACGTAAAATGAGATTTTACTCATTTTAGTAGTAGAACAGTGATAAAATGAAGGTGGTAGTGATATTAGAGATGAGGAAAAGTTCACTCAGCTGCAAGTTAAAGCTGTAATGTTCAGACTTCGTGGCTTCCCGTATGCAGGCCGGGGAATAAACCCAAGATTTGGCGAGATACAGAGCAAGTCACTTTATAAATGTAGGATGGAAACTCGTAGTCATTGGATGGGAAAATTATCATACCCAACATAGAGCAAGGAAACCCGACTTGTGTGTGTGTGTGTGTGTGTTCGTGTGTGTGTGTGTGTGTGTGTGTGTGTGTGTGTGTGTGTGTGTGTGTGTGGTGTGTGTGTGTATGCGTGTGTGTGTGTATGTGTGTGGATGTGTGTGTGTGTGTGTGTGTGTTGTGTGTGTGTGTGTGTGTGTGTGTGTGTGTGGTGTGTGTGTGTGTGTGTGTGTGTGTGTGTGTGTGTGTGTGTGTGTGTTTGTGTGTGTGTGTGTGTGTGTGTGTGTGTTTGTGTGTGTGTGTGTGTGCACGCACGCTAGCGTGTGTGTATTTAACTTTAACTATTCATGGGTCTCACACACTTTCCACTTTGCTACTTACCTCAGGGAGGAGAGATACGATCCATGAAAGAAGAAATATTTCAGTGAATAACCCTTCTTTTCCTGGCTCTCAGTGTGACGCACAACCCAAGGCGAATTTCCAAAGACAGATCAGTTTCTAGGCAGAGCCGAGGTTACAGAAGTTTTAAACCGTATGAAGAAAAACGTAACTAAAGAACTATCTCAAGTATAAAATAGAAACAGACTCAACCCAACTCATTTTCATAAGTTCATCAGTTAAGAATGAATTTGAAGTTGAAGCAAATGTATTATTTCTCACATATTTTCTCGATATGTAGTACTTTTTGTACAGAACTAGAAAAAGTGAGCACCAACAAGGAGGAATTCACAACCAGAGTAATAACGAAGTCGGTTGTTAACGCTTCAACGAGGAACCGAGGCACCGCTTTTAGTCAATAGACACAGTTCTCCCTATCCCGTGGTACTGGAGAGTAAGAGAATGAAAAGAACAACACGAAAACACACGTGCAAAAACAGTCAGCAAACACAAAAAAGCCCGCTTGAGTGCACTTGCAAGCGAACTCGCTCACAAACGGCAGGAGGACGGTGATGGATTATCGGGATTACACGCACCATGGCCGTGGCGCTTTTTGTTGTTTTTTAATTGGAAAGCGAGAATATGATCGACTGAGCAAAAACAATGTAAACAAGAAAAAAATACAAGAATTTATACTGTATATAGAAAGAGAGAGAGAGAGAGAGAGAGAGAGAGAGAGAGAGAGAGAGAGAGAGAGAGAGAGAGAGAGAGAGAGAGAGAGAGAGAGAGAGAGAGAGAGAGAGAGAGAGAGAGAGAGAGAGAGAGAGAGAGAGAGAGAGAGAGAGAGAGAGAGAGAGAGAGAGAGAGAGAGAGAGAGAGAGAGAGAGAGAGAGATCGGGTAGGGTAACGACAGGGTAACCAATCGCCAGAGAGTCCTCCGGATTGAGAGTAAGGAAGGTAAAGTCAGGTACATCCTATGATATCTTTCACGTTCACTGGCATGATATCAACATCGACAGGGCACCACCACCCCACCTCTCGAAACGTTCTCCTATTGGCTTTAACGCAATATTTTGTCTCCTCTGATTGGCAAAGGATGTGTAGAACTTCTTTACAGCCACCAATCTGGAGGATCACGGATGACTGAGGTTCCTTGACGCTGGAGTGTGGTGGTGGTGGTGGTGTTTCACCGTAATGCTGTGTATTGTGTTACATATACGGAATGGGTTAGCTTGACTTTTTAAAATATTTTTAACCTGAGAGAGAGTGAGAGCTTCGGCCTTACACGCGTCGGATCCAGGGTTCGAGACCCATACAGCCCAGGTGAAGGGAATCTTTAATCTTCTGTTCTCCCGTTTTATCCAAAGACTTTATCATCTCACTTTCTTTGGAACAAAGATGAATGGTGATCACGATTTGTATTGTTATTGTAGCTTAATATCATTAATAAAATCGTAACTTAATGATTATAATGACTTTTTCTAAGAGGAAGGCAAAGGCCGAGTGACACAACTTCCATCACCCGAGAGCTAAGTTAGTTGAGCAGAGTGACCCGACCCGACCGTAAAGCTTTCTGAGGCTTAATAACTTCCAGATCAAACACTGCAGCAACAAATTTGTTTTATCATTAGATTAGATTCGTAAAGTTTGACATATATATAAATTTTATAAATAAATTTACCCTGCAACATTGATAGATTTGTTTTATCCCAGATGTCTTCAGTTGAGTCTTATGAAGGGTAGTGTTCGGTGACTTGTTCAGCAAGGGTAGAAAGCATTTTCCTTGGCTGTCAGAAGGGCGTTGATACTGTACTGTGTTTCCCTAGAGGACTGAGCTTCAAAATGTAGAATGTATCTCCTATAATAGGAAGTGTTTAGATTTGTTAACTGGAAAGATACATTTCATTGCGAAACATTCAGAATCACTATGGAATGGAATTGAGTAGTGTACCATATAAGTGAAAATTTGGTGCCTCCATCTAATCTGTGTCACCAAACTCATAGACAATTTTGAGACTTTAAAACCACTAATATAGTAGAGTCTTAAAAGATGAGATGCATAACTCAGATTCTCTTTCAGAATGCAGCAGGGGGTACCTAAACAGGCAAGAGGAGTGGCTTCCAGATTTCAAACTTACTAAATGTAGATACGCGAAAATTTATAAGAATATCATGAGTAAATGTTAAGAAAAAATTAAACAAAGAAAAAAAATTCGGATAAGGACACCACATGGAACCTCACAAGTGAAGCACGCATGAACAATATAACAATAGAATATGGAAAACTAGTATATATATATCGTAATTATTTTTAGAAGTTTAAATACCACATCCTACAGAACGCCGCACACATTTATTGCAAGGTCAATCCTGGAATATTCAACACTGGATGTAATGATACTTCATGAATCAAGAAAATTGAGAAGGTCCTTAGAATCGCCCCGATACTCATGTCACATGTGTGGCACCTGAGCTGTGAAGATTACTTAAATGATCTAAAATTACATGCTCTATCGATGGAACCTAAGACGGAATGATTAAAAAAAAAAAAATAGGCAAGAAAAGGTAATGATAAAAGAAACGAAACCAGATGCACCAGAAGCGGGTAAGTTACTTCTCATTCACCGTGCAAGTATTAAAAACGAGTTACGTATTGGATGATGAGGATGCACGAGACAAATCAAAATCACAGTTAATTAATAAAATCAAGTTATACCCGAAATTTGATTGCGAAGAGCCAAGAGCTGTTTCTTCCTGTCCAAAACTACGAATAACTAAGTAATAATACACTCCAACCAACTCCACAATTGAGTGAGAGAAAAAAGACCACAGAAGCAGAACAGGTTAGATCTTACAGAAACATAAAAGGAGAATGATCTCAGAGTTTATAAAATACCAAACCTGGCCCCTGAGGAACCCATTAGCATATCTCCAGCATACGTGAAGCTGACAACTGTTCGAGTAACCTTCAGCTATCGAGATATATAATTCTTCAGAACATTTAATACAACCTACATAAGGCTTCATACCTAGTTATGCAGCAGTGACCTAGAGTCACGA